CCCCCCCCCCCCCCCTCCTTGCAGTTAGCTGACAACCGTACAGAACCCGTGAGCAGCCCGCGCCCCCCCCCCAAACACCCACCCACCCCGCCCGCTGTGCAGGAGGACGGGGCAGCGCTGATGGAACAAGTCGACGAGGCGCACGTCGGGGTGCTAGATGAGAGGGTGAGTCAATGCCCATCCGTTGGAGTCGTCGGTGTGGGTTTTGGCGCCTTTTTTGCTGCCATGTCACTGCACGATCTGAAGCTGTTGGCATGCCATGTCATTGTGATGCCGCCTAAGTTTACCTAGCTTTTGGTAGCGGTTCAGATCATATCCGTGCTCTTTCGCGGTATCATCATACCATTTCAAGAGCAGAATCTGAACGGAACAGCGTAAGCTGTATTGTAGCACTTCTGAGGATACTGTTTTTCTGCAAGAGAGTGTGGTTGTGGTCTATTGGCTTGTTCGGGTGAAATCGTTCCATCCCTTTTGTTCGGGGGATTTTCAGCTCGGGGGGAGGGCGTGCTTGGTTTGCGGTATGAAGGGGGGTTAGACTATACTTTTGCCTCATAACCGGCCGAGTGAAAGGAGGTCGGGGGGATAGAACAAGGTGCTTTGGCTCCACCATCACTGAACAACTGAGCTATCGAGTGTGGTGGAGCCCTTGCGGGCACTTCGGGGAGGATACCTCACCGCTTGCCGAACGAGTGGAGCACGAGACAGCCGTATCCTGCAGACGGCAAGGAGGGGAAACGCGACGACCTACAACCATTCCACCCCACCCAAAGCAATGTGGGCACTCCCAACTTGAAACTGTTTCCAGTCCTTTCCCGAGTGCGGGTCACAAATGACTGTATACCCCTCCCCGCCGCCTCTCCCCCTCGCGTGTGCACGAAAAACAGCACAACCGTGACAAGGACCGGATCAACGCCGACGCGTCCGCGTTGGAGAGATTGATCTTCGCCGTCGCTGGTCGGCAGAGGGCCTTATCAGCATCAGCATCGGAACAACTACCACTACCTCTCCCACTGTCACCCGCTCTAACCGGTGGACTAAAAGATCGACCGAACGATTCGTCGAAAACGACATTCGTGGCGGTGACTTCAGCGATGCCGGGCGGGGTGGAGGGTTCCCGCCCGAGTCCCGGCAGCGGCTTGTAAAGAACGGGCATACAAGGAACCTCGCGGTCCTTTTACCGTGCAAGAACTTGTTCTTGTTATCTTGTCGGAATCGAAAAGAGACTGACACAGTTATCACAGTTAGTGGCTGCTTCCGTGTTTTGAGGCCCGTGCGAGTCATGAAATGGGAAAAAGAAATCGACACGAATTGCGATCGAAGAGGTCGATAGTCTTCTGGTGTCAGCCAGTTACGTGCCGCTGTGTGTGGAAGCTAACATAGACTGTGGGCGTTCGAGTGAAATCCGCGCGCGCGGATCACCACATGAAAAGTCTATTAGCAGGAGAAAAACATGTTTCTGTGTCTCTCTCTGTCTCTCTCTCGCTCTCCCTGTCAAGATGCATGCATCGCACTAGTAGGGCGTATCACTCCTCGCCGTGGGTCTGCTGGGATCGTAGCCCCTCTGTTGAAATATTCTTGCTGTTTGATGCGAGTTCAAGTTGGGCGTGGTACTTCAGAGGCGGCGGCGAGTTTTGCATGAATAAGGGTTGATGCTCCGGAGACCCTCAGAGCGGGGAGCAGTGTAGGAACAATTGACAAACGATACATGGCCATGCGAAAATCACACGGGTAATGGAGTACATTTTCCGTCAGGTCCGTCAGGTCTGGCTGTTGCACACACGGACGCATTCATCCGATCATCATTTCTATTTCTGGGGCACAACCAATGCACGACGGCCGTTTGAATGCACACCATGGGACGAGGTATAGCTCTCAGGTGCCCTCAATAGGAAGAGGCACGTGTACGCGGCCGTAAAGTAGTGTCCCTACTCTAAGACGCCCGACTATGTGTAACACTATGGTCGGTTGCGAAGCGAGAGGAGGTTCCTGGTCGCCGCTGGTCCGCGTCCCCGAACCACGCATTCTTCTGCCACACGGCGCTACAACGCATCGGGAGCAGCCTCATCGCCCACAGCACGGTCACCAGCACCAGTGCCACCGGCACCAGCATCATGAGTCGCATCAGCCGTATCAGGGGCAGCAGCGGCAGCCGCCGTGCGCTCTCGTGACCTCTCCCTCCTCGCCGCGATTGGCCCCGTCAATCTCCCCGCCAGCCGCGACAAGACCCCCCTGACGCGCCCCCCACCTCCCGCGTTGTTACCGCCTCCTTCTCCCCCCAACGGCGGCGGCGGCGGCCTCGCGGGTAATTGAAACACGTCGATGTCCCACACGTACGGCAGCGCCTCGTGGGCCGCTATCAGCATCAACAGGAACACCCAGAGCGGGAAGTACACCCCGAGCCACCTCATCTTGCCAAAAGCGGGGCGGGCATCCCCCCGCTCCCCGTCCAGACGCAGCGCCACGAGGAGGAGAAACAGCAGCCACAGCGAGGAAGCCATGGCCCAGGCCTTGCCGTACGCCGGGGACACCGCGTGGGCGTAGCCGCCTCCGGTGAGGCTGAAGAGCATCGACGGCAGCAGCAGCATCTTCGGGTGTTGGGACGGGAAGCGGAGAGGGGGGGGGTGGGGAGGGGCACGATGAACATGTGGGACGCTCGCTTGCTTTTTTGCTGTCGTTGTGCCAGCTATAGTATCACTTCTGCTTGCGTTCAAAACACCATCACGTCCGGTCTCCGAGTTCACTAGCCAAACCCAAACGAAGCCAAACATCGGCAGGGGTGTCATGATGTCTTCGCAAAAGGCGCGGGAATCTCCACAACCGACTTCTGTCTTTCATGTCGTGCCGCACCGAGTACAACTTGGGCATCGCTCAGCGAAAGCCTTGGCCTAAGCAATGCTTCATGTTTCACACTTCGAACCTCCAGCAGACCCAAGCGAACGCCCTTATTTTCTACATCTCCCCTATTCCACGTTGTCCCTCCCCTGTGAAACTGGCAGGCACCGTTCATGTACACTCGTGCGGAACCCCGACACGGCAGATTGTAACGGCAAAACGTGATGTTTGGTTGCCTGAATGACCTTCTGCGTGTGGTTGCGGAGTGTGCCTGACCATTCGGTGTGACGAAATCCCGATCTTCGCTAACATCTGTGAGGTGTGTGGCCGTGTCCGTGTGCATCAGGTCTCTCGTTCTCGAACGGCACGCTCTCCCTCTTTTCCTCTTACCTCCACCCACGATCCTGCAGATGCCGGTCCCAAAGCCTTCACGACCGCTAGGCCGCCTACCAGAGTGAGCGACATCGAAGGCAGCGCAAAAATCACCGCGAACTTGGTCGCGACACACAAGCCCGTGCTCCTGTTATCCGCGTAGATCTCCCAGATCTGAAAAGCTACGGCAAGGGTCCCGGCCGTGCCCACGACCAGTGCCGGCAAGGCCACCAAAGCGGCGGCGGAGGTGGCGGCGTCGGTGGCAGCGGAAGTCGAAGAGAAGTACCACGAGCCCGCGAGCGGCCAGGCCGCAGCGGCGGCGAGGGCCAGGCCATAGTAGCAGCAGGTGAGGCGCGAGTCGGCGTGGACAGGTTCGAAGCGGATCATGTGCGAGAACACGTGCTGGGCGATGTCCCCGTTGTCGTAGCGCACGTCGTACGTGTTGTTCTCCCGCGAGGCCGCGACGGCGCCGGGGTACCAGGCGTCCTTCCCGGCGAAGCAGGCCACCCTGGCCCCGACCGGGTACCGCCCCCCGCTGGCGGCTGGTCGGGAGAGCTCCGGCTTGAAGTAGGTCATGAGCTGCCGCCTGAACTCCCTCCCGTACCAGAGCTCCGGTTCTTCCACCGCGTCGGCGCCGCCCCGACCGTCGAAAGTCTTACTTGACGCAGCACGCCTTCGTCTACATTGTGAATAAATGCCACGGATGAATCTTGCCGCCTTTGCCAACACCCTTCGATGGACGGCGGCGGCGGCAACGCCTCCGTTTTCTGCGTTCATGAGCCCGTCCGCCGCCGCGGATAGCGCCGGATCTGTTGCAGATCCTGCCGCCACCGCCGTGCTTGCAGCGCTTGTGGGCCGGGACAGGGCCGCGTCCAGAAGCCTTTGCTGTCGCTGCTGCATCAACTTGTCAGAGCCGCCCCCGTTTCTCCAGGAGTAGTTGAAGGGTGTGTGGCACTTGCTGCACAGCGGTACCCCGGGCTTAGTCTTGAAGAGGCCGTACATGGCACGCGTGTCCACCGCCTTCCGCTTTATCACGACGTGCACGTCCTTCCCGGTTCGGCCGTCCCACTCGTCAGGCAACATGTTAACCTGTTGTACGTGAGTAAGACAGAGGACGAGGACGGTGCAGGGTGGGTATTACCACGCGGGGCTGGAAGAGTTGGTCATATTCCCCACACATTGTTGTGTATGTAAGCCGCGAGGAGTTCGTCGGTTGTTCGCAGAAAAACCGGGAGACATCGTCCTTGACCCGTACACTCGGGAACGGGACCCACGTTTGGGAGCATTTGCGAGGTGGCAACTCTCCGCTCTACTTTTTTGGTGAGAGCGAGAAGGGGTTAGGGGGGGGGGGGGGGG